GTCAAAGGTACATATACAGTGTTTAAATAAGGACATGATGGATCATCGTAGGCTACCCTTCCTTTGATCGAAAGTCTGTTGGTAATTAAACCATGAATCATCTACACTTTTATCAAAGGAATGTTTGATAACATAAAAATTCGTTAGAGCTTAAATCACATCTCATATCAAATACTGTAATTACTTTGTCAACGATTATTGTACGGATGGATGGTTATTTTGTTAGAAAATCAAAAACTCGCTTTGCTCGATCGTTTCACAGAAATAATAAACGTCGCCCTATTCTTCGGACAGAAGTACGGTACTGTATGGTATAATGTAGTTTGTATGCTTCATAGTGAAATTACATACGGTAAGTCAGTGAAAATGGCGCTGGTAATTCCACAATATACGGTAAGATTATAAGTTGAATATCGAATTTTTATCCGTCAATGTTTAAGCTTAGACTTGTTTATTGAATAAGTATACGGTGACTATTCAATAAGCTCTCTACGCTTAACCTCGTGGCTCCACATGGAAATTTTCTTCCGTCGTAGGCCTATGGATTTAGTTCAAGATCAAGATCTAAGACATTTTCTTCAGTTTTATTGAGTAAGATATTCTCGGTGATTTGCAAAATCGCCATCCACACGCTAAAATATAGCAAATAGACTTTCAGATTTCAGATTCTTTATTTATTTCGACAGATTACAAACATGGAGGAGGCTATAATAACATCATGAAAAAAATAAAAAAATAAAAATAAAAATACCGTACGCGCGAATAAGCGCCCGTACGCTTAAAATATTTTTGCACTTTTTGAGGGGCGCTTATTCAAACGGGGCGCTTATTCGAACGGGGCACTTATGAAAACAGAGTGGAAATAGATGAAAATCGAGGGGTTCTTATGAGAACTTATTAAATTCAAGAGGCACATTTTGAATGAAAAACGATTATATAAGGACACAAGGAAACCGAAAATTACGAATGGTGCGGCGGAAAAGATATCGTCCAGAGAGTCTTGTCATGACAAGAATGTTGTGAGTACAGTATTACATAACAGCAGATGAAATTAGCAGTGGTCGTTCTATAGATTGTTGGCCATCGGCCGATTGCGATCAGCAGGACGGCATGATCATTGCAGGTTTTTTGAAAACTCTGATGAGAAAGTGTTAAAGGTGCAAATTGTCGGAAAAAGAGTAGGACTAGGCTATAGACAAATGTAAGAAGATGAGAGTTGGAAATGTACTGTTTGTCCAGAAGGAGCTCTCATTTGTCCAAGATAAATATCCTCATTTTGATATTGACTAAAGGGAATGCGATTCCACCTCCACACCTCAAATCATACCAACATCCACAGTCCCAGGATTGATTGGATTATTGAGGGAGGTGGCGCTTATTCGCGCGAGTACGGTACATGTGCAATCAAAGTACACGACGGGAGTCCCTGCTAGACATAATGCCGGCATATTGAGTTCCTGACTGATTGATATACTGTAGTATTGCTAAACATAATCAGGTGAGGAGTAGCAACAAAGAGTTATATAAACTGTCGTTAGGATTTTAGTATTTGTTTCTTATGTCTTTTAATGACAGAACAGTTACTGTACGCACATTAAGATCACGCAGTGCTCATAATTACACTACTACTACTTGGTGCGCCCCTTTTAGGGGACACCCCTGTTAAGGGGGAAATTTTCCGTGAAATGAGAACTTTAATCTTAACGGCCAACCCCTATTAAGCCGACACCCCTATTAAGGGGACGGGGACACTTTCTGAGTGTACCAAATGTCAAATCAATAAATGTTGAACCCTTATTAAGGAAACACATTTTAATTGTATCACTAATTTATTTTTATTGTGTCATTACAGGGTTCATTGTACTCGAGACCCTCGAGTACCGTAAAGAGACGTTTTAGCTAAATTTAGGACTCGGAAATAGGCGATATATTCAAAACAAAGCTCAGATCTTAAAATACTTTATACAAAATTATATTCATCTCACAAATCCTGGTTTGCATTCATCTACAATTTGTAGACTTTCTCTTAAATTAAAAGTAAAATATCTGCTGACTTGGTTTATTTTGCTTTATAAGGATATGCTAAGAAATAAACATGAAGTTTCTTAAATATTTGCTTATTATAGTGCCTTAGTGTGTGCATGAATAAGATAAAGTAGAGGAGGCTATTATAATGCCTGTCTAACATATTTAACAATCATGGCCGAGAGCAAACGGAATGTCATTGTTTACTTATAGGACACACTTCACCAGTGCCATTGTTACCCACCGCTAGCTTAAACATTGTATACTTTCTGCCAGGCAAACCTTCAAACAATAACATTACTTTTTTTCTCTCTTTCGTGGCGTAACCACCACCTTTATTCAAACAATCAGTACAGTACAGTACAATATTTCCTTCTATATCAATTTTTTTTTCATTTCCTTTATGGCATTACCGTTTTTTTTTTTTTATTATTATTATAACATTTTTTAACAACCAATATCGTGTATAATCGAATAAAGGTATTTTGGAATAAAATATAATTTAAATTGTTTAATAGAATAATTTTATTTTTTTATATCACATTATACGGTATATCATTATAATATAACATACTTTATTTAATATAATCTTCATGAAATGAAAGATTACCATTTTTTTAATTTTAAATATATATATTATATATATATACATATACATTCACACATACCTATATATAGGCCTATATATATATATATGTTTATATATAGGCCTATATATGCATACACATATAGGCTCATATATATGTATATATATATATAAAATAAAGGTGATGCTGTATAGGCAAATATACATACAGTAAATAACGAGTCAGATGGTATCAGATATATGCCACAAAATTTATTTTCAGAGTTAGCGAGTACTTTCGACTATAAGTCTTTATAGCTTGATAAAGTCTACATAGCTTGATAAAGACTTATAGTCGAAAGCACTCGCTAACTCTGAAAATAAATTTTGTGGCATATATCTGATACCATCTGACTCGTTATTTATATATATATATATATATATATACATACATACACATAGGCCCATACATCATACACATCACACAAATTTATAAAATTTGATAGTGTGCACAAAAATTAAGAATATACTGTGGCGCCTACTGTGACAATATTTATTATTTGTTTCTCTCACGTTTGAGAGTGTACAAAGGAAAAATGGACACAATGCCTATACTTGTCTATTTTCCTATAATACAAAGGTCCATTGGCCTAATAGTTGTATTGCATTTTAAGGAATTTAATCTATGGACCTACAGTAGTAGGCTTATATCTATACTGAGCCCGATGATCGTGCTAATATTCAGGCATACGCCAGCCTAAAAGTGCATTCACGACTAATCCGATCCTTCGGACCAGAAAGCCTATCGAAATCAAAACGGATGTATAAAATTATGGACGAATTTCTTCAGCACATTGGAACGCTTCCAAATTATGGTTTGGTTCTGATGTGAATGCCGCTAAATAGGCCTATTTTACAAATAAGTAGGCCTTTTTTTTCTTGTATAATTACAAACGTTATTCCGTTGTTTCTTTTCATATTTTTTTTTTTATATTTTTGATATTAAAATATAACTCTTAATTAATTTAATATACTTACAAGTAGTTTTCAATTTAATCCCAATTATTCAAAATTAGTACAATGATAATAATACTATAGATAACAAAATAAAACT